TATTGATTTCTTTTAAGGCTTTTATTTGTAATTTATCTATCCTACTAATATCTAACTCTTCTTCATTAATTTTACTCAATTCTTGAATACAACCGTTCTCAACTGTAGATTGTTTATTTCCCATATTTATAGGTTTATATTTTAATTTTCTTTGCTTTTTGCTTTAGCCTTTGCTTTCGCTTTACCTTTACCTTTCAATTCTTTTATCTCCTCCATCATTTCAAACATACAAGCCTCTAAATGCTCAATCTTTTGTTGTTGCTCCCTCACAGCGCCCCATAAAATAGAGTTCATCTTGACATAACTTAATTTCTTAATACCATCCACTTTCACAAGTATATTTTCAACTTTTTCTGGTATATTTTCTTCTACCTCCTCTGCTATAAAACCTATATGAGTTTTAGTTATTCCCATTTCTTTTTCTTCTTTCATTTTGAAAGTATGAGGTTTAATGCTATTTACTATTTTTGTAAAATTGAAGTTTGCTTCTTCAATATCATATTTCATATCTTTTTGTGATGTATCTACAAGGTCTCCCTCTAATGTATAAGGTGCTGGAACAGAAACTTTTGATGGAGTAACAAAAAGTCTTACACTACCATTAGCATAAAATCTTATATCTCCGTTAGGGTCTTCATTGTATAACTTGAAATGATTAACACCTGCTGTATTTTCATTAAAGATATAACTATTTTTACCAGTTTCTTTATGAAAATATACCCTTTTGTCTTGATTGACATATATATATCTTTTGAAAAATTAACATCTTCATCTGCTTTTCTGTATCTCATATATTCTACTGAACCGTCATCTGTTGTATTACTGCCTTGAAAAACCATATCAGCACCAACATTTCTATGGATAAAATAGTCGCCATAAATATATTGAGACGACAATGCCCTACCTGTTGATACATCAATAATATTTTTAGTGCCATCTAATGTAAAGAAATTAACACCACCCCTTTTAAATACTACATTAGTAGGAGTGGCACTATCAATTACATCAAACTTACCACTTTCAGCAAGTAATGATATACCTGTATTTACTTCTACATTACCATTTCTAAAATACATAAAATCTACTGTGTTCCTTCTAAAGCTGACATCAGCATTACCGATACTATCATAAGTGTTTGATTTAGCACCTTTTGTTAGTTCCACTGCTTGAAGCGTTCCTTCAAACTTCATATATTCAACATCACCCCTTTTAAAGACTAAATCAACATCAGTAGCATTTTTTGTATTGATGACATCAGTTTGTAATTCGGTATGGCATACAACATCAACATTAAAATATGCCTGTGTTAATGACAATTGAAATTTTAAGTGTTGAGGAAACGGACTACCACCAACATAAAACCGATGTAATCCGCCAGAAGCAAAAATACAATAATCATAACCAGTATTACCACCTCCTATATTGATAGAACGGATATAACCTTTACCAGTTCCTAAAGCAATTGACCCTCCAAGGACTAACTCCATACCTGAAAGAAAATAAGAAGTTCCATTAACCGTTAGGTCAAAACTTCCAAATTGAGCCCCTCCACCTATGACCAAATCGCCTTCTATTGTTTGTAATGTTTCTCCAGTATATTTTACTAAATTAGTGTCATCAACACCTCCACCTCCAATATCTGGACTTGTAGGCTTGTGAAATGTAATTAGATTATTCTGTAATGTCATAACTAAATTAGTTGTAGCATCCGGCACTGTAGGGCTTCCAACATAAAATTTAATTTCTCCAGTGCTCTCGTTCATTACATAATTCATCACGGTAGAGGCGTTCTTGCTTTCAACATAATCACATAAAATGTTATTAACACATTCTATGTTATTTGAAAAGTATGAAGCACCATTGACAGTTAATACATTGCTTCCGTTTTTAGCACCATTAACAGCAACAGTTCCTGCTACTTGTTGGTCGGTTTCTCCTGTGAGTTTTAAGCAGTTTGAAATATCCCCTGATAAATCTAAATTGGTAGGTTTATTAAATTCAACAATCCCGTTTTTTAATGTCATTATTAAATTAGTTGTTGTATCGGGGACTATTGGACTGCCTACATAGAATTTCATTTCTCCGGTGCTTTCGTTCATAATATGGTTTATGATTGTTGATGAATTTTTGCTTTCAAAATTATCACACACAATAAAATTTTCACATTGCGTTTTAGTATTCAATACCGTCAGATTTTCTTGAAGTTCAATCATACTGACATTGTTTCTTTTTATGAATAAATCTAATGGTGCTACGGTGTCTATCTCCTGTGTTTTAAGATTGCCTCCACATTGGATTAATTTACTTGCTACGATTTTACTTGCTGAAACATCATATTGTAAGTAAGTATCGCTGTTGCTTTGAAAAAGTATATCATTGGTATTGAGGGCATTGAATGTATTTGACTGAATATTAGAACCTTTGATATAACCGCTACTGTCCAAAGATGCTACTAAATGATTACCATTGATTTCCGCATCCCCATTAACATAAAAATCTCTGCTTGATGCTACACCATTCAAAATTATTTTTGATAGACCATCAATGTGTCCCAGTCTCAAAGTGCCTGACATATCCTGTGGATTGTTGATATTAAGTTTGTCATTCAGTAATGTATCTGTCTCTGATTTATTATATTTATTATTTGATAAAGCATCTGTCTCAGTTTTGTTATAATAATTTGTTAAGTCAGTCGTGCCTGTGCCACCACCACCTCCTCCATTGATGATTGCTGTATTGACATAACTTTCCGTTGCTAAATTTGATGTTCCGGTGATTTCTAACTTAATAAATTCTGTTGCTATGATTGTATTGCCACCATCTAATTGAACCATAAATATAAAATAAATTAGAAAATTATTTTTTTTATCTTTTCTTGGGTCGCAAAGCTTGCGAGCCTCTGGTGAGGCATCTTGGGGCAAACATATTTGAACAAATTTTGTTATATCTTTCTTGTTTCTGTTGTATCATTTGCTGTTGTAATAATTGATAGTGCTGATACAAGGCATTAACGGGATTGATGGGCTGAACTGGAACTGTTTGTTGTTTCTTTTTGATTAGTGGTTGTGTTGGTTGTTCTTCTTCTTCGCTACTGCTGTAATATATTTCCGGTGGAGGTTTAGGAGTTGGTTTGGGTTTGGGAATTTGTTTAGGTCTTGGGTTTGTATGCTTCTTAACTGGTTTCTCAGATAGTTTGCCTTGGCATTTTTGTTCGTGTGAATACTTATAACTTTTGACTGACATTTCTTTGAAACAACGAGGACAGTTTATTCTGTCCTTTTGTGTTTGTCTTTTTGGTTGTTCTTTCACTTCTTCTTTAACTTCTTTTGGTGGTTCATTAACTTCTTCAACAACTTCATTAACAACATCAACAACGGTTTCTTTTGTTTCTTCTTCTTCAATTGTGTCTATTGCTGGTGCTTCCTCTTTTGCTTCTTCATTTAAATCAACAACAGATATACTCATATATTATGTTCCATAAAAAGTCTTTCATTATTCTATATATTAATTTTGATGGAAAATATATAGAATGATGAGTTATTCTATACTATTGCTCTTGGGAGTTGCTTTGACTTTGTAGGTATTGTTGATGCTTGTTTGTTTTCTCGTGTGCCTTCTTTTTAATACAAGGTATATTTGAACCACAGGCAAAGGTATATCTAATTAGGGAATATTCCTTTAAAGTCCTTTTTAACTAATAACTTGGATGACTGATAAGCAAAGCAAATTGAACATCAATGTCATACAAATTCATCACAGTTCCTTCAGCATTAGTGTTGAAAGGGACCAGTTGTCACCGTTGCGCATGGACATTTTCCTGAAGCCGTGGTGGCTCCAGTGTGCACAAAAAGGGGCGCTGTCACCTTCAAGTGGCAGCGGAGCGAGGTTCGATCCAGGGCGGAGGTGAACGTGCTCTTTGTGCTTGAGCTGGCTTGGAGACGGAGGAGCGCTACGCTGGAGCTACCACATGACGTCCTACTATGAGGTCTTCGAGGTGGAGCCGAATGTGGATGAGGTTGGTGGGGACTCCGAACGCGACCAGGAAGCGGGAGGAAGTCATGGAGGTTGGTGGAGTCAAGGTTCACCAAGTACCCCGGCGTGGGAGCCGCCTAGTCGAGGCAGCTGGCAGACGTATGGTTCTTGGCGTTGGTCACCGGGATATGGCGGACGGCAATATGCGAATTGGTCATGGGATGGCCAGTCGGACAACGGCAGTGTGGGATCATGGCGCTCCTACGACAATTGGTCGTGGGGCAACGGCGGCAGTTCGGGAGAACCTGAACGACATGGACGCGGCCAAGGGCAAGTACCAGGTGTCGGAGGACGAGGCGGTGATGGGTCGTTGCAGAGCTCTCCAAGATGACCACCGGCTGCAGGCTATGACCGGGAAGGCAATGCACCGTCAGGTGAAGTGACGTCGGCCGGAAATGGCCCAGGGCCACGTGAACCAGGTGGCTCTGATGTGACCGAGGAGAAGAAGGTCAAGGGCAAGGCAAGCAACTCCTACCCGCCGATCTTTAGGGCGAAGCCAGGGGAGTCATACCGTGACTGGAGACGGAGTGTGGACTTTTGGTTGGGCGGCGAGGGGCACCAGATTCCGATGGAGTATGTGGGACCCAGAATCATGGTGCAGTTGAGGGATCGAGCAGCCCAACTTGTGAAGCACTTGAACAACTCCGACGTCAACACGGCAGATGGCATGCAGAAGATCTTTGCGGTGCTGGAGCGAAGCCCTTTGGTGAAGCAGTTGGACAAGCACCGCATCGACCAACACAGAAAGAGGCTGATGGCTTTGAACCGGTTCCCAGGGGAATCACTCGAGTCTTATATCACCCGAGGCAACATCTACAGAAACCAGCTGGTTGGGTTGGACAGCACCTTGGAGATGGGGGAGAAGTTCTATGTGGGCCATCTTCTGGACCATGCGAGGCTGACCAGAAGAGAAAGCCTTGGTTCGCACGCGTGCGGGTGAAGACACAGAGGAGGCCGTCACGAACGCGATGGTGGAGTTGGCGGCTGAGCTGGAAGGCGAACAAGGATGCCCCATAGGGGCATCTGAACCGAATGTGGCCGGGGCCAATGGCGAAGAGTGGCTGGTTCAGCGGCCCAGCGGTGGAGGTGGCTACGCGGGGAAGAAGTTCAACGGCGAGGCAGCGCTGGGCGCGGAGACGGCCGGTGTCTATGGCGAGGAGGACGTCGAGCACGAGGAGACCGATGATCCAGGGGATGAGAGCCTGGATGGGGATTGCCCCATGGAGTTGGTGGAGGCGGAACGAGAGGCATATGCCATGCATTACAAGGCAAAACAACGCATGGCTGAGGTGAAGAAGATGCGCCAATACTACAAGAAGGAGGGCAACAATGAAGAGAGACGCAAGGCGCTGGCTGAGAAGATCCGAACTACGGCTTGCCACAATTGTGGGGAAATTGGCCATTGGAGCAAGGAATGTCCCAAAGCAGGACGAGCTCACCCTGCTTGTGTGGCGACGAAGGCAATGAGGCAGAAAGGGTACGGCAAGAAGGTGGCTTCGTCGCTGGAGGGCATTCCAGAACAATCCATGGGCCAAATGGACCATGAGTGGGATCTTTTGGTGTCACTTTGCTCATCTAATTTGGATGAGAACGTTGCAGCGGTGACCGCACGAGCATACATGGCTGGTCCGTGTGGGTTGAGTCATTGGGATGAGGAGGCGCATGAGGTGATGTGGTGTGTTCAGGAACTTCAGAGTGCGGTCATTTTGGATCTAGGATGTCTCAAGTCGGTAGCGGGCACCAAGTGGATCAATCAGTTGTTGCCAAGGTGGAGCAAGGAGCATAGGTGGTTCAAAGTATTCCCCGAGAAGGAGACATTTCGTTTTGGGAGTGGCAACACCTTACCCAGTCGTTTTGCAGTGCAGTTTCTGGCATCATTCTGTGGCAGACCGGTTATCCTAGCATTTTCAGTAGTTGAAGGCGATTGCCCACCATTGTTGTCTAGGCCGGCATGTTCACAGTTGGGGGTCATATTTGACTGCGGGTTGCATACCATGTCATCACGGAAGTTGGGAGTGAAGAATTTTGGGTTGCAGCAAACTACAAGTGGCCACTATATCATGAATATTGAAGAGTTCGACAACATGCATGCTGTGGAGATCCCTTCGGACTTCAAGTTATCCGAGGGCATAGATGCGACAGTTTGGAAACCTGAGATGCTGCAGGAAGATTTTGGTTCAAGATCACCCAGCCGCGGCGACCGGGAAGCTCATGTCAGCGGCGGGATCGCAGCCGAAGCATCGTTGCCGGATATGCGGCGATCCAGGTCACCGCGGACGGGATTGCCCCTACATCCAGAGCGAAGAGGACCTGCCCCAACATCTTCTGGACGCAGTGGAGATGGATGCAGCGAGCGAAGTGAGTCGTCCGCGCAAGGGAGCACACCCAGGCCTTCGAGACGAGGCGATGGCCCCGCCGTTGGAGTACGCCACGCCCAAGCGACGGGCCTATCCGGGCATGCGACAAGTGGAGAGCCCTTGGGAGGCAGTGGGAACCCCTATGTGGATGGGCGAGCCTGGAGCAGTGCGAGTGGATCCACAACACTACAACCTCGCGGAGGGCGACATGATGGCGGGCTTGCTGACAGAGGCGGAGAAGAAGATGATCGCGAAGAGTCGTGCCAAGAAAGGACACGCGGCAGCCAAGAAGAAGGAGCAGGCAGCGCTGACGGGCATCCAGGCGGACTACCCGTCGCTGTCTCACACATGGAGCGAGGATGTGGCATTCAATCTGGTAGCGAGTGTGAGGAGCCGGATGATCACCTTCCAGTGGAAGAAGCTGTTCTGGCAATGCCGAGTCCGACAAGCTCTGGCGGAGACGTACCCGCAGGCACGATGGAAGAGGAATCCGAGGTGGTTGGCAATGCTCCTGGGCAAGGAGGTGGCAGCGTTATGGGGACACCTGGGAGCTATGCGCCAACGACTCCATGCTCCGATGGCAGTGGCGCTGATGTGAGAAGGGCAGAAGATGCAGCGGAGTACAGCCCCGACATCTGGCGGCTGTTGACGGGTTCACTGACACCTACATCCGGGACATTGCAGAGGCGCCATGCTTACTATGAGGAGAATATGGAGGAGGAGACTACTACAACCGACCCGACAGAGCGAGGTGAAGATGGATGGCAAGAAGATTGGTCGAGTGGGGGTTCCTCGAAGCCGAGATCGCGAGCAGAGCCAGATCCTGAGGAGTCACCGAACAAAGGGACGAGACCGTCCCGAGGCTTGACGCAAATGTTCAAGAAATCGGTGGCGTCGGCGCTTGCAGTCATGGACAAGTTGAGAGCGGTGGCAACATGGAGGACGGACTACACGGTCTTGGAGCTCTTCGCAGGATCAGCGACTCTATCACGGAGGGCGAGGCAACGATCGGGATGGACAGCCTATGAGCCTGTGGATGTCATCTACGGCGCCGAGCACGACCTGCGGGACAACAAGAACGCCCAGCGGATCTTGGACGTGATTGAGGGCTTTGAGCCGGATTTGGTGGTGATCACGCCTCCTTGCGGACCATGGTGCGCCTGGCAGCGCATGCGCACTGACTTTGAGGCCCTAGATGAACTTCGACGGCAACATCTACCATTTTGGAGATTGGCCCGCAAGGTATGGGACAAGCAGACCAAAGGAGGCCGGCTGGCGTTGACGGAACAGCCAGAACAATCAGAGGCTTTGGAGACAAGCTACATGGCCGGACGTGAGGAGGTGTATCGGGTGGTGTTGGATCAATGCGAGTTTGGTCTACGTGATCCGGTATCGCACAAGCTCTACAAGAAGGCCACGGCATTGGATGTCAACGAGGAGCAGTTTGCCAAGGAGCTTGCAAGGGTGAACAGGTGTACCCATCAACCAGAACAACATGAGCAGATTCGAGGCAGCGTTTTCTGGAAGGGCAAATGGCGGCGCCGATCCACTCTGGCGGCGGCTTGGACTCCCAGATTGGCGGACCACATCCTGGAGGCTGCCGAGAAGTCTTGGCGGGGTGCAATCAGTGCATGTGTGGCTACGAGGCGGTTGGCGGAACCACAGGTGGGGTCGGAATGGTTGGCCTTTCCCGTGGAACCAGAGGCGGGAGTCTTGACGCCAGAGGAGGTGTTGCGGCGTCAGCTCAATCAGATGGGAGCTGCCGGAGATCGCTACGACTATGTAGTCATCTTTGAGGGCGAAGCCAGGGGACTTCCCCGGAGGGTAAGGACAACATTGGCTCACTTGCATGTGGTTCTGGGGCACCTCTCCAACGATCGATTGGCCAGGATGCTGAGTTTGGCGGGTGGCAACAAGGACTTGCTGATGGGGGCGAGACTTCTACGATGCCAAGTTTGCAGCATGGTGCGGCCCCCGGACAACAAGCCACAGGTGAGCTATCAGAAGCCGACCAACTTCAACCAGAGGGTGTCCGCGGATTGCTTCCACGTGTGGGATCATGCGGGGGTGCAATACACCGTCTTTCACATGATCGATGAGCTGACGGACTACGAGATTGGGGAGCTCGAGTTTGACCCAGGCTCAGGATGGATTTCGGAGGTCATGAGAGAAAGGTGGTATGGAGCCTTCGGTCCACCCGATGAGTTGGTCACTGATGGCGGCAAGGAGTTTTGTGGGTCAGTGCAGAGGTTGAATGACCTGTTTGCAGTGCGCCATGATGTAGTTCCAGACCAGGCCAAGTGGCGCATGGGACATGTGGAGCGACATGGAGCGATCTTGAAGCTGATGCTGATGCGCATGGTGGCCGAGCTCAAGCTGGACAAGTTGGGAGAGATGCAAGGGGCAGTGACAGCGGCAGTGGCTTCGAAGAATCGCATTGTGGGCGCCAGTGGAGTGAGTCCCATACAAGCGGTGACAGGGAGAAGCACACCAATACCATCTTCCCTGTTGGCGCAACTGGTGTCTGGACACGTGAAGTTCAAGATCAATGAGGATTTGGAGAAGGACGAAGCACTTCGTCGAGCAGAGAGGATCAGGGCGAGCGCTGTCGAAGCATGTCATTGGATCGATGCACATGAAGGTCTACGACGAGCTCTCAACGCCAAGTCCAAGCCTCCGAGGTTGGAGCTTCTGAGAGAAGGGACAATCGTCTACTGCTATGACCCGCCCACGAATCGTCGAGGTTTAGCCAGACGATTACAAGACAACTCTTCCTGGTCGGGCCCGGCAGTGGTGGTCTGTGTGGAGCGTGGCGAGGGTGCACCGAAGCGAGTCTGGGTGAGGATCAAGACCCGGGTGAAGTGCTACCCGCTGGAGAAGCTCAGGCTGGCGACTTGTGATGAGATGGTCTCTGCCGAGTTCATCGCCGGGGCGCTCAAGGACGTTCAGGAGGAGCTCAACAAGGGGCTCATCAAGGTGGTCGAGAACAAGGAGGCGAAGGGTGCAGAGGCGCTTCAACCAGTGGCCGAGGACGGAGAAGGTGATCCACCGGAGGCCAAGATGGAGGGACAGGAGTCAAGCTCTTCATCGGGGAGTTCATCGACGTCAACGGCCGAGGATATCCGGAGAGAAAGAGAAGCGAAGCGCAAGGAACTCTTGTCAGATGTGCCAGTGGCAATGCGCAAGCACCAGAAGAAGAAGAAGGACCCACACGAGATGACCTTTGACAACAAGAAACGACTCTTCGAGAACCTGGCCAAGGAGTTCCAAGCTCCTTCAACTCTTCAGGAGGCAAAGGTGCGTGCGAAAATGGAGCAGGCTTTTGACCAATTGAAGAAAGTGCGCAAGAACTATCGCAAGGGAGACAAAGAGCAGGCCAGGGCAGCATCATCGGCAGGGACGCAGCGAAGGACGAGAGCGGCCTTCGTGGTGATGCCAGAGGAGTTGGCGGCTGAAGTGGGAGGCGACGAAGGAGTCGCGGCGCTGTGGAATGAGGTCGAGGCGCATGCTGAGTTTTGGAACGATGAGGAGGGCCAGGAGGAAGGACGTAACTATGTGCAGGACCTCATGGACATGGCGGAGAAGGATGCGTCGGGATGTGCCAAGGCGGCGTATGAGGCGAAGCTCGTCACAGGGAAGCAGAGGCTTGAGTATAAGTGGTCGAGCTTGTCGCCGGAGTGGCAATCAGCTTTCAAAGAGCCCATCCTCAAGGCGGTGAAGGTCTATTTTGATCATCAGGCCATTTCCGGAGTGGCCAAAGACACGGTGGTCGATCCGCGGAAGGTGCTCACATCGCGGTTCGTGCTTACCAACAAAGGCCAGGAGAACTTGGATCAAGCGGAACTCAAGGGGCGATGGATCTTTGGAGGGCATCGAGATTCCGAACTGGGAGCATATCCGACGATGGCCCCGACGGCGAGCTTACTGGCACACAATTTGCTGAACTTTATAGCGGTGCAGTATGGGTGGGAGGTGCAGTATGAGGACGTGTCGGCGGCTTTTCTTCAAGGGAAGAAACTTCCACCAGGACGCGAAGTGTACGTGAAGATCCCTTTTGGCTATCCCATGTACGTGAACCTCTTCATCAAGGAGACAGTGGGTGAAGATTGTCGCGACGATCTGCTGAAGTTGGAGAAGGGAGGCTTTGGTTTGAGCGAGAGCCCAAGGCTTTGGTACATGGAATACAAGGGGACACTGAAGGACATTGGGGTGGAGGAGATGAAGCTGGTGCCCGGCATGTTCAGAGCCTTCCATCCAGACGGTCGTCTTCGAGCAGTTGTGTGCATCCATGTCGATGACACCAGGTACACTGGGGATGAGACATCACATCTCATCTGGGAGGAGCTTCATCAACGTCTGAAATTCGGTCAGCATCGGAAGGCGACCGAAGGAAGGACGAAGTTCTGTGGGCGATTTGAGGAGCAGGACCCACAGACCCGCGAGTTTGTCTACAGCATGGAGGACTACATCAAGAAGATCCCCAACGTGATGGAGTATGTCGGGAACAAGGAGGATAAGCTCACGGACGCGGAAAGATTGGGACTGAGCTCCGTCCTGGGACAGCTCAATTGGGCTGCACGACAGGGTCGGTATGATCTCAGCTATGGCGTATCACACTGCCAGCAGATGGTGGGGCTTGGGACAAAGGAGGCGATCGATTGGACACGCAAGTTGTGGAAGCGTGCCCAGGCAAAGGTGGAGATGAAGGTGCCCAAGCTGGGGTGCGCCGTGGAGGACTTGGTGGTCATTTCAGCGAGTGATGCGGCATTCGCCGCACAACCAAAAGGCGGATCTCAAGGAGGAGTCACATGCCTTCTGGCGAACCCGGACATCTTGAAGGGTGACGCGCCGGCCGCCATCGTGGAAGCCCAGAGTATGAAGATCCAGAGGATCGTCCGATGCTCGATGAGTGCCGAGCTATCGATGGCCGCGGAAGCGTACGAGCATGGGGACTACATCAGAGCCGTCATCGCGGAGCTCACCAACCATCGCTTTGAGTTGCGGAGGTGGAAATGGTACGCCAGCAGGTGGCGTCACTATTTGGTGATCGACGCGAAGACGGGCTACGACGTCCTCAACTCCGAGTGCATGACATCGGACCGGAAGATCATGATAGATGCTTCGGTGCTACGCGAAGCACTCATGGAAGAGGGGACGGAGAACTATGTCAGATGGATCCCCGGCAAGGAGATGGTGAGCGACGGCCTGACGAAGTGGTTGGACAACCACATCCTCGTGGAGGTGATGACTCGAGGGCAGTGGCGGTTGGTGGACACGCCCGAAGCGAAGCAGGCCCGTGCAGATGCAGCGGACCGCAAACGCAAGTATGTACAGAAGCGCAAACAGGTGACAAATCCATAGGGGGCTGGTGTTGAAAGGGACCAGTTGTCACCGTTGCGCATGGACATTTTCCTGAAGCCGTGGTGGCTCCAGTGTGCACAAAAAGGGGCGCTGTCACCTTCAAGTATTAGTAATTTTGAAATCTAGCCTCTTTAAATTCCTTCCGCCTATATCAATGTAGTCTTCTTGATGTATGGAATGACTGTCGTTGATTATCCCACCCAATTGTTCAGTGCAAAGCACCTTTCTAATAATGGATGATGAATATGAATTAGGGGCACTATACCTATAATCTGATAAAGCATTAGAAGTTATGAACACATATCGGAATGGCACAAGATTAAAATATGAAGAAGTCCAGACTGCTATGGGATTTGTAGGAACAAAGTTGCTTAACAAATAGTTTATTGATACAGGTTTTCTATTATCATAAGGGGCACTCACACTATCCCAAATTCCATCAACATAGTTCTCAAGTTCAGTATCAGTCGAGATTTTAATTGTATAAGGTAATCCATCCTTAACTTTTATCTCTACTGTTCTTGTAGCACTACTGTAGGCATAAACAAAAATACCATCTGCTGATAAATCCGTTGTATTATTGTTCATACCCTCTACCATATCAAAGCATAGTTGTTCTGAGAAATAAATGCGGTTCCCTAAATACACTCTAAAGTTTTTTACAAGTGTATCTGCATTGAAGACCATAACATAGATATATTCATAGAAGTTAATTTCTGTAGTCTTCCACACTGCGGGTATTGAAATGTCTGTCACATACATTCTTGTTCCTTCAGGTGTTTCAAGGTTTTCATTTAATTCAATGGAAAAGTCGGCACTTGAGTTTGATTGTTGCGTTCTATATTTTGTATCAATAAAGATTTTCTTATAAGTTAATCTATTACTCATATTCTTATATTTATTAGTTTAGATTTTATTTTATCACTATGAATATATTGATGATTGGATTTATGGCTCAGGTAGGCAGGATGGCTGTGATGAATGCCATTAGGCAGGTCGGAAGGCAATTCGGAAGAGAGGCAATGGAAATAATTTTAGCTGGTGAAGCAGCTGAAGCAGTCCTAACAAGAGACCAGATGAAAGAATTAGCAAGAAAGACCGGTAAATTAGCATTTCAAGAACTGATGAGAATAGGCAAAGAAGAATTTATAAAAGATACTGACAAGAAACAGAATGAATTGAACCAAAAAATGGACAACTTCGCAAGAAATTTAAATGATAAATTCAAACAAAATACAACATTGTATAAAGAAGAAAGGAACCTTCAGAACAAAGAAAAGGTTGAGGATAGATGGGGTTTAACAAATGCGTATAGGTCACCATCAGGCATTTATGCCACTGGAAAAACTTTATACATATCAGGCACTGGTGGTAAAGATGGTGATTTTGTTAGGGATTGGATGGATAATTTTGGGAAGTTGCCTTTTAGAAATGCTCATAACACTCAAAAATACAAGGATGTAATGGAAGCACTAAAGAAAAATCCTGATGTAACCAGACTTGTTGGTCACAGTTTGGCTTCAGCCGTTATTAACAAAATCAATGAAGAACAGCCTAACAGGTTTGCCACTACCACTTATGCTACACCAGCCATAAAACCCAGAAGGAAAGGCAAAAAACAACATCCCAGAAGGCTTGACTACAGAAACCCTAATGACATAGTTAGTATGTTGGACGGCTATGCTGAAACATCAGACTTTTCAGATTGGAACCCTATTATAGCCCACACCTATAAAAATTTTGAAGGGACAGGTATGTTTCACATAAGACCTACCACTCACATTTCTAATGGGATACAACCCAACGAACCGTTGGGTTTATGAACAATACAGGTTGATGGCTTTGCCATCAAGCTCTTGCTTAAACAGCAACAGGTAAATTCGCCCATTAGAGAATACATACATAAATACAATATTTAATTGTATTTATTTATATATTATGATGGGTTGTTTTAAGTTTCTGAAAGACATTGAATACCTAAAGAAAAGGATAATTGAAATAAACAAGCAAATAGACAACATCTATGAGATATTAGAGTTCTTCACCAATGAAAGCAAAAGAAAAAATCTAGATGAAAGTAATAGTAATGTTTTTACAAAGAAGAATTGAGAACAATAAGCAACAGCCAATATTCCTGACCAAAAATAATTCTAGTTACAAGAAACTAGAGAAGGCGATGAAAGAGCCGGTGAAAGAGTATGACCAAATAAAAAAACTTGTAGAAATTACTGATGAAAATATTATAAAAAAAATGATATGGATGCTTCAAAAATTGTTAAGTTATTGCCTAGTAAAAAAATAAATATTAAAAAATAAAAAAAATAATCTAAATCAATAATATATAAGTTATGGATAATTTAGTAGCAGAAAGTCAAGATGTAGAAATTCCTGAGTTGAACTTCGGGCTTCCACAAACAGCACAATTTGTAACAGACCGTCGGCAAGTAAATTACTTTCCTAGTGGGTCTTCAATCTATTCACCCAAAGATAATAAGAATATAAGATTTTACATCTCAGGAGAAGCAAACCAGTATTTAGATTTAGGTAGTCTTCGTTTGTTTGCAACACTTCAAAATAGAAATGGAGACCGTGCCAAATTCTTGAGACCTTTAGGTGGGTTGCATAGTTTCTTCAATAGGTATAGGGCTACTGTAGCAGGGCAACTAGTGCAGGACATTGTAGAATACAACCGTCACTGTGAGTTGTTCAAGTCTTTTAAATCAAAAGATGTAAATGAAATGGATGACATTGAAAGTTCAGCAAATCCTAGTTGGGATGATGACTACCATTTATATGCTAATGGCTTGGAAAACCTTTTAAAGGCTACTACTGATGGAGCAACAAACGCAGGTGGTGTAGTGACTGTTGATACTACAGGTGACCATAATGAGCACGGTAAGATAGATATGAGACCTACAAGACATTCTTTATCAGGTATTGCTGGTAATAATGGAACAGTAAGATTAGGTCACAAGCCCTGTTGTGGATTGTTGGAGAGTAACTACTACTTACCATTGAGGGTTGCGCCTTTAGAATTAGAATTTACTGTAGTATCAGATGGTAATGAGCCTATCATTGTCCCCCAAGGAAATGGCACAACTGAAACCGACAAAAACGGATACTATTTTCAAGATGGAAACACTGCAACAGGTGATGACTGGGTCATTACTTCTTGTATCATCAGGGCTGATACGGTGACACTTGATAATACAGTGGATAATAATATCACCGCGGCACTTTTAGGTGGCACTTCATTGAAAATGGTAATTCCTCAATACCACACCATCACACAGACATTTAACACAGGCGGTGGTGAAATCAATATGAACATTGTAAAATCAGCATCTAAATTAAGTCACGCATTCATCACATTGTATAGGCAACCCAGAGGAGGAGAACGATATTCTTATTATATGCCTGACAATTATTTACACAAGAGGTGGAACTACTTTTACAACACAATGATTAACTCAGAAATAAATGACGGTCCGTTGGCTGATACAATCCCATTACAAGAAGGTAAAGGTTTTGCTGACAGCACTAGGACTTTAAGTTGGCAACTTCAAATTGGAAACAAGAAATACCCTGAGTTCAATTGCGAGAGTTTGAGTGAGGCTTGGTATTTCTTAAGAAGAACTGTTAATCTCCTCAATCCAGAACAAAATTCAATGAATATCAGTTACAAGCAATATAGAAGCAACAAATTTGTAATAGGTGTATCACTGGAAAAAATGCAATCAGTTTCATTCACAGGTCAGAACACAAAAATGGGAAGTTTAATCACTTTTAGATTGAAAGGGACTGAAGGAACTTTAGCCGAAACTGAACAAATTTCTGAAATATTTATTCACTTGGTCAGTGAAAGCATTTTAGAACTTCGCTCTGACGGGGCATTAGTTTATGATTAGGAAATTTATTTTTTCTAAAAATTAATATATAAATGCAATATAGAAAAACAAGTTCCAATGAAATACAGAAAGCAAATGAATATGCTTACAGGAAAAGCAACAGGTAGTGGTATGTTTAAACATCAAGATACACGCTATGTCAAATGGTTAAAGGAACAACTTGATAGAAATGAAACTAGAGAAAAACTAACATCTTATCAAAATGACATAAGACAAGCAAATGAAAGAGCCAATTACAAAAATCCAGTTGATAGAATGATGGGTGAAGTTCAAAGAGACAATCTAAACCATAACTCGCTTGAACACTTACAAAAACAAATTAATTCATTTAAACATTTAAAATTTGCTTGAACAAAAAAATAATGATATTAAAATATAAAATAATATCATTATTTTCTACCATAGATTATATGGCAACAACAGCAACTTTAGAAAATGTAAATAAATTTTCAAAAATAGGATTAAGAAGGAGACCGACATATCAAGAGATAATAGGGCTGATTGATGAAAATGAAAAAATAGCGGGTAAATTACCCAACAGAGATGCTACTTTTTTTAGAAATTCAAATGAGGGTTCATTTTTTGATGGGGTAGAGCAAATGGAAGCATTGAAAGATGAACAGGCAAGATTATTGTTGCGACAAATGGGGGATGTTTTATTGAGACAAAATATGAGAACAGCAGGTAAAACCTTTCACGCAGAAAGAAGCAAACAAATGCCCTTACAAAGTCCAAGTATAATAACACCAGAACCTATGAATGTAGATGCTGAAGGAGGAGAACAACCAGCACCACCAGCACGCGGAGCAGGACAAAGTCCTCCAACCCAAGTTCCACTATCAACAAGGCTTCAACAAGCATCGCAACTAGGAGCGGAATTAGCACAGAGAATACAAACATCAATGAAAAGAAAAGAAGAAACAGCAATGAACCACAGGGGCGAGGTATTTAAACAAACTAAACCCTCAATCATAGAAGAAACAATGATGCCCCCGCTCACAAAGCCAAGAAGTTTTGCTCCTATAAAACCTGAAAGTTTCAACATAGCAACTGATGATGAAGTTATGCCTCAAGCCAAGGCAAAACCACAAA